AATATGATTCGAGTAAAGAATTTGGGTGGGATAACGAGTCATCTAGAAAAGAAGTTGGTATTGAATCTTTTAAAATCCATTCAAGGCCAGTGACTAATGGAGAATATCTCAAATTTATAAGGGCAACAGTTAACAAAGAATACTGGCATCATGGATTCCAATTGATCCATCATTATTTGATTATAAATTAATTGGCCAGTTATGCTGAGTCAAAGACAAGCATATAAAACACGCAGAATGGAAAGGGATGAGATTGCTATCAGAAGAAGAATTAAGCGCATTATACGCAATACATAAATCATCACCACCCATTAACATCAAACGTAAGATTTAACAGTTGACATCCAGTTGATGTGCCAAACAATATATTAGATGGAAACCAGCAATATCATCAAGAACATTGGCTAACAAACTGTCATTAAAGGGTATAAATGTCTCCTATGTGATAATTTTGCAACATTTGGCTGACCTTGGTTATAAAAAGCGTCCATTGGCAACACCAATGCTCACAGAAACACACAAGCAAAAGAGGGTAGAATGAGCCCAAAACACATTAACAATAATTGGAACCACAACACTCAGTAGTAGAGATTTTGTAACATTATCTTTAGTTGTGCCACTGATATTTTTCCTAAAGAAAAGATTCTTAGAAATAGTGACATATTATATATATAAATGATGAAAATTATGACAACAATGAATTTGAAAATGAAAATATTGAACCAATAGATAGCTATTTTATAATGGTAATTACCCTATGGTAGTTATCATTGCTGTAACTACCAATTACAGCAGGTATCTTTAACAATAACATTTGTTGGTTCCTTTATTAATAAAACATACAATTTTATGCAAAAAAATGGACATATTTTCTCACTTGTGTCAATTGAACTTGGAGTCTCTATAGTTCTTGTAGTGATAATAATAGTAGTAGTAGTTTTTTTTTTAAAAATCAATTAACAATAATAGTTGTGATAATTGGTTTTTTCCCATTGTAATGATAATAACAATAGTAATTCATTTGTTCCTAATAGCAAATAGTCATATTAGGGTTTCTATTCGAATAAAACGAGTTAAGATTGAGCTGTATTATGTGTTAATTTGAATAAAATGAATAATAATAAATCGAATAATAATAATAAATCGAATAAGTCAAGTTGTCTTACTATTTTAAATTTATCATAGCAAACACATGAACAATTAAATACCAAACCGGATCTGAGATTTTTTTGATTAGTCTACAATAGAAGTTTAAAATGTTATTTTCAGAGCAAAAATTAAAATTAGAAATTTTATAATTAGCTTAATACAAAAATACAGTAAATTATCTCATACAAGCAATTTATTTTGATTCAAACCATCACTATTAACTACGGTAAATCATGAAAATGGCAATTTAAGTATTTCCCAACTTCAAAGCCTTTTATAACTTTTCCTTGCTAAATA